GGAGGAGGGGGAGGAGGAGGCCGGAGAAGAGACGGAGGAGAAGTGAGGAGGTGGAGGGGAGGGGAGGAGGAGGCTGAGAAGGAGCGAGGAGGAGAGAAGGAGGAGGGGAGGAGGAGAAAAGGAGGAGGAGGAGGAGGAGGAGGTAAGGAGGCAGGAGGGGGGGGGAGAGGAGGAGGAGGAGGAGAGGAAGGTGGCATCTCACTGCACGGATCGGAAGCCTGGGCCCTGCCGGGACCGGTGCCCTGCGCGCAGCTCGCGCCCCGCGGGCTCCAACCCGCCGCAGGGCGTCGGCCTGCGGCTCCAGACTTCTGTCGGGCGAGGCGGGGGGCCCCCCAGGGCAGTGCGGCTACACGGCGCTTCCGGTGCGGCCACGTCACGCCCTGGGTTTTTTTGGCCTTGGGAGGAGGAGGAGGAGGAGGAGGAGGAGGAGGAGGAGGAGGAGGAGGATGGAGGAGGAGGCGGAGGACGGCGGAAGGCGAACGCGAGGCGGAGGCTGCAGGCGGCCGGAGGGCGGATTAGGCGGCGGCGGCGGCAGTACGGAGGCGGCGCGGCGGCGGCGTCGGGTGTGGCGGAGGCCGGGGGCGGGGGAAGGGGAGGGGCCCCGAAGGCTCAAGAATAGCACCAGGGCCTCGACATCGAGATGCCAGACAGGGTTTGAGGCAGTCCAAGGAGGCCATGGGTCTGGAGGGGGAACTTCTCGGCACTCTAGGGTTATGTCGGGCGTGTCCCCCTGCAGGGGGATTTTCGACGAGAAATACAAAATAACCTACCCCAAAAATGCCCCAACAAAGGTCCAAAAGATAATCAAAAAATAACCCCAGACATTTTTGGAGTATGTTTTTTGACTATTTTGAGTTTTTTTTTCATCGAAATTCCACATTAAAATTTAGGGGGGCAAAACAAAATAGAAACAAAAAAAAAAAAAAAGAAAAGAAAAAGAAAAAAACAGAATAAAACAAAAAAAAAAAAAAAACAAAAACACAGAAAAAAAAAAAATAAAAAATAAAAAAAGAAACAAAAAAAATAAAATAAAAAAAAAAAAAAAAAAAAAGGACCCAAAAAACAAAAATAAACAATATCAAAAAAAAAAAAAAAAAAAAAAGCCCGACGTAACTCCAGACCCAGACCCCCGACGCCATGACCGTCTCAAAACGTCGACCCCCAGAGGTCTCGGACACGGTCCCCCCAGTCCGCGAGGTCGGCCGCGTGATGCGCACACGCTCGCGCCATGCGCACTCTCGAAGCACGTCTACGTCCTCCTTGCGTCGAGGCTGCGTCGAACGTCCGTCGCCTCGAGTCGAGCCTGAATCGAACCTGAGCTGAACCCGAGCCGAACCTGAGTCGAACCTGAGTCGAGCTAAGAGTCGAACTAAAATAGCACTGGAGCCGAACATCGGGAGCGGCCAAGAGGGGGGTGTCCAAGAGGGGGGGGTGCAAATCATGACCGGCGGCATGTGCGCGGCCCAGCGGGGGGGCCAGGGACGTAACGAAGTAAGAAGAGGCGCCATGAGATCTGGGGAAATACCATGGCCCCCGCCATGATATCCGCCCCCCCCCCCTAGTCATCACCCCCCTCTTTTCCGCTCCCGAGAACAGATCCATTAGTTGGGGGCGGAAAGATACGGATACGTGTTGTCCCCAGACCTCTCTTGGGGTGCGTTCTGACCAGAATTTCGAGGCGAATCCAGCGGTGACAACGAGGATTCCCCAGGAGGACCAGGAAAGGCCGAAAACGAAGGGGGACAACACGTATCCGTATCTTTTTCTCCCCCGAATTAGGTGGCTCCCGGGAAAGCCCCCAGCAAGAGCATCGAATCCAAGTGTGCCCCCGTCCTCGGGATCCAGAGCATCGTGTGGTTGCCGGGCTGCATGAGGTCGAACCTCGGCGGCGCGCCAAGAGAGGGCGGGGGCAGAGGGGGAGGGGCCCTCGAGGAAGGCAGGGGGGCTCTCCCGTCAACGATCTATCACGATTTCCCGGGGAAGCTCCTTAACAGGATCGACCCACGAGCCCGGAGGGGATTGAGGACTGCGAGGCAAGGAACCGCTTCAAAGGACCTCAACTGCATGTGCAACTGGGCGATGCCATGGGGGGCACGCCAGGGGGACGCGCCGCGGAACGTCCCACAGAGGGCGCGCCAGGAGGGCGCGCCAGGGGACGTGCCAGGGGGACGCACCGCGGGACATGCCAAGGGGCGGCGCTACGGAACGTGCCAGTGGACGTGCCACGGGACGTACCAGGAGACGCGCCGCGCGACGTGCGCGACGTGCCAGGGGGACTCGCCATGGGACGCGCCACAGAACGTGCCAGGGAACGTGCCAGGCGACGCGCCAGGGGACGCACCAGGGAACACGTCGGGGGACGCGCCGCGGAACGACCCTGACCCAGGGCCAGGACCCAACGCAAATTACGCTGCGTCCGCGCTCCCAGGGCCACGATCCATTGAAACTGGCGCTCCGTCCGAACTCCCAGAGCCACGATCCCTTGCAAATTACGCTGCGTCCACTCCCCCTGGGCCACGATCCCCCGTAAACTACGCTGTGTCCGCGCTCCCAGGGCCGCGCTCCCTTATGAATTACGCTGCGTCCGCGCTCCCATGGCCACGCTCCCCAATACATTACACGGTGTTCGGGCTCCCAGAACCAATGGGTATCCTTGGGCGCTCAGGCCATTCAAGTTCTGCAGGACAAGCGTTTCGCTCGAGGCATCCACAGATAGTCGACGCGCAGGGCGCGCCATCCTCGAGCGGGCACGCAAAACATATGCTTCCTTTCATGTTCCAACGAATGTCAAAGCCTCCATACCTCGTGCTTTACCGTGGATTTTGCGCAAAACGCTCCGCACCCGGTTTCTCTACAAGGGAAGCCGTGCGTCTGCGGACCCCCCCATATTTCTCGAGGATTCGAGATGGGGGACGCACTTTCCTCGAGCGGACACGCGCGAAACGCATTTTGTCCACGCCGACTTGGGCCTTGCCTTGTTTTTTATCGAGCGGAAGTTCGCTGATCCGCTTCGAGTCATGGCCGGGGGGATCAACCTACAACAGAAAAACCCTGGGCCCTAGCGCTGTCCCCGAAAAGGAAGGAGGGTTCCTGAGAACCCCCTGGCCTTCATCTTGACCTCCTCCTCTTCCTCTTCCTCCTTCTCCCCCTCCCCCCCTCCCCCCCTCCTCCGCCTCCCACTCCTCCTCCGCCTCCTCCTGCTCCTCCCCCCTCCACCGCCTGCCCCATGTCCTGAGCGTGTGGCAGGGTCATCAGCTCCTCATTGTCGTTGTCGTCGTGGTCGTCGTCGCGGTCGTCGTGGTCGTCGTCGCGGTCGTCGTCGCCGTCGCCGTCGCCGTCGTCGTCGTCGTCGTCGTCGTCGTCGTCGTCGTCGTCGTCGTCGTCGTCGTCGTCGTCCTTCTGGGTCGGCGACACCGCCCGCAAGGCCTTCACAATTTCCCCAAGAGGCAGGAAGGTTCCCGAGAAGCCCCCTGGCCTTCACATCTTGACAACCCCGACATGGTTACGGAAATTATAACGGCACGATGCCCAAGCGCGACGGTTGGCCGAAACCGACAGCCGCCGCCCTTGGGCCAGCGCCTTCCTGTCTCAAATGGGCAACACCCGTGGCGGCACCGACAGCGAGTCCAGGGCATCGCCGAGCCGATTCTTTACGAACCCATCTCGGGCGCCCCGACTCTTAGGAGGCTGCCGCAGTATCAACGACAAGTCTCACCATGGGGGACCCATCAGCGTGTTACAGCCATCGGCCTGACCTAAGGAACGATAAATAAAGAAAACGAAGCCCCTGTTTTCCGAGGAAAAAAGCATGAGGAACGATAAGTAATAATAAAAAACGCATGAGGGAGGATACGTAGCGCATGCAAGCCTTAAGGAACGACCGAGCCCCTTTTGAAAAGTAAGTGTTCCTTGCTCAAGCCGCTCGCTGTACTGCGAAACCAACACCGGGCCTCCGGACAAAAGCAGAGAAAGCAGCACGCCCACGAGCTCCCGACGGCGGCCTGCCACCGAGTCCCTTTCCCCCTTCCCCCCCCCCCCCGCCCGGAGGAGGCTGCCCCGCTGCCGCACCTATACCCCCGACGGCATGCTTTTTTGTCACATCGACGCCCTCCAGACGCCTCTTGGCTACTCCAGATTTCGTAATCAATGGAAGGGGGTCTCATTTCGGGGGGGCCTCTTCCAGGCTATCTTGGAGGGCCTGGGGGGTCTGGGGACGATGTTTTGGAGGGTTCGCCCACGGGGGAGATCTGAAATGGCTTGTCTTGGAGGGTCCAGACCCCTTCCCTTTTATTACGAAATCTGGAGTACACGACGGCGTGACCCTGGGTAAGGAAGACCTTTCGTGCGCGGATTTTTGGGGGCCGCGCGGGGGACCAAACACGAGCGCGCAAGACGCTACGAACGCATCGCATTCGGCGGGCGATCGGGGGACCCCAATGGGCCCGCACCAAAGGTCACTCTGGCGAAGGGTCACTCTTACGTCTAGTAGAGTCTCGATCGGGGACGCACAAACCCGGGTCAATGCAAACCCGGGTCAGTCAGGCCTTGCAGGAGCCTGCAAGCTCCTGCAGAATCCTGCGCCCGAGCTCGGGTCAGTGCGACCCTGGCCCTGCAGCATGACCCTGCAAGATCCAGCGCTCGGACTGAACCCCGTTTGCATTGACCCCCGTCTGTCGAGCGCTGCCTCGACCCTTCCCCCCCCCCCCCGGGACCTGCTCCTCATCCAGAGTCGCTTCTTGACGGTCCCGAGGCTGGGCAAGGGCCTGTGGAGGCCAAGAAAGGCGAAAGACCCCCCCTGTCGCGATCTTCTGTCACGACCCGAAGGGGGGTCTGCGTCCGTCGCCTCGCCGGACTGGCCAAGAAAAGGGCCCCAACCCTCTGGGAGGCGACCTGAACTGGGATGCCGAGAAGCATCGCAGTCGGCCTTGATCGGACAGGGCACGCGAGAGGACACGAGACCCTTCCGAGGGACACGCTGCCACAGGAACGTAGGAGGAGGCCTGGGTCGCGAGACGCAGGACACAAAAGGCACCCTTGATTCGGCAGGGTCGACTTAACGATCAGGGCCGACAGGGGTCTTTTCAGCAGACGTGGTAAGACAAGCCGCCCAGATCGAACGTCCCTGATGCACAGCCGGGAACCTCGGCGAGGCCACGTCCTCAATCCGTGATTCGGGTCCGGGGCTCTTGCGTCCTCGAGGATCGCCCCCCCCCCCCCCCCGGCCATCGCTCGGACGTCCATTCCCTGTGCTATTTCCGGTTTCGTGCGTGGCTTTTTCGGCAACTGATCAAGGATGCTCCTCGATGGTCCTCGCCGACGGAAAAATGCACACGTCCGAGCGATGCCAAGCCCCCCCCCCCCCCCCTCGCCGTGCCCCCCGTGTGGCCCCCGGCGAGGAGCCCCCACCGGCCCGACTGCCCGTGCACGTTGACCAGGTGCGGGTCCCCCGTGGCGGAGACCTGGACGTTCACCGTGGGGGCCGTGGAGGAGCCCGCGACGGCCTGCCGCGGGGTTGGGGCCGTGCCATAGCCAGCCGGCCTCGAGCTTCCCTTACGTTCGCTGTCTGATGGAAGCCCAACCGCCGGTGGGGAGAACGAACGAATGAACGAACGAACGAAGCTGCCCACGCCAGGAGTCTGGCGACCCTACAAGGGCGGCAGGCGCGCCAAACGCGCTGGCCTCCGGGGAGGCCGGGTAGCTGATCAGGTGCGAGACAATTACATGCAGCCAAACGCTGCTGCGAAGAAGCCAAACGCTCCCCGCAAGATGATGAAGAGGTGGGGAGAAACACGAGGCAGGAAGGCGTTGGAAGTCGTTCGGGTCCCCGCCCGCCCCCTTGAAGCGGAGGGAAGAGAGAAACGCACTCCTCTCTTGAAGCGGAGAGGCGGCCAAAGTAGATTGGGAGCTGGGCATCCACAAGTGCCTGCTTTCGACCACCGATGGGTATCCTGTCTTAGCACAGATGTTGGCGGACTAGCGGCAAATGGCCGCAAAGGGTGGCAGCCGATCAGCGGCAATCAGCGGCACACGCCCCGCGCCCACCGTCCACCAGTCAACCCCTATTCGCCGCCAACGGCCGCTGAACGCAGACAAGAAAAGCTGTCGGTGCCAATCAGGGCTTCCATACAAACGAACCTAACGCTCAAGTATCCTCTCTCATTTTTGTTTGAAACTGATGAGCCCCAAAGCCGTGGCAACATGAAAGATGCACACTCAGAAGCTGGGAGGGTCCGCAAGATCGGCATCGAGAGAAGACGGTGCCATGTCTTAGGGAGCCCACAAAGGACGTACGCGCCCAGCTATGTACATGAACACGGCCCCTCGATTCGCGAGACCCGCCGCGTTATAACAACATTTGTGCAATGCGTGCTCTCGAAACCAGCGCGGATTCATGTACATGTACGTCCTTGTTTCGCTCCTGATGTCTAGGGGTGGGGGGGTGATGTCCCCGGCTGGCAAACAGCACCGCTGGGCCGCACGGCCGAGGCACGAAGCGAGGCGGGGCGCGGAGCGGGAAGCTGGGCCGAGACCCAGAGGCACCGAGAACTCGCCATCGCTCGGCCATCCATTCCCTGTGTTTTCTTTCGGTTGTGTGCGTGTTTTTTCGCCAAATGATCAAGGGTGGTCCTCGATGGTCCTCGCCCACGGACAAGTACACGCGTCCGAGCGATGCCAGGAGAAAGGAGGCGAGTGCGGTGCAGCGCGGACGACACGCCGAAGAACTTGGCCTCGCGTCGCAAATGCGGCTGGCCCCGCCAGCAGGGGGCCGCAGAAGTGGATCAGTTAACGCAGTCGGGCGCGCCACTTTCTGCTTCGCAGTCGTGATGCGCTCCGGTCTTCCGTCTCTCTTGCCGTATTGCCCGAGGAGCTGCCAGTCGCGCACTCTTCCGCCCACGCGCCCTTCCGTGAAAGGAGGCGGGAAACGAGGGAGGCGGGGGAGCCCCCTCGCCTCCACTCCCTCCCCCTCTCGTCGACGCCTGCCGCCTTTCGGGCCACAACTCGGGTCTCCCTGCGGCCGTCGGGAACGATCCTGGGGGGGGCACCCCTGGAAGGCTCTCGACGAGACGCAGCTGCTGGAAGGCATCCCGAGGCAACAAGGCCTCCAAGACACCTGCGAAAACAACTTCAATAACCAAAGAACGCTTCCCCTTCCAAGCGACCCTCTCGCCCTTCTTTCGGCTACACGCAGGAGTGACCCTGGGTAAGAGTGACCTTTGGTGCCCGGCTGTTGGGGGGCCGCGGGGGGGCCAAACACAGGCGCACCAGGCGCCACTACCGCATCGCGTTCGGCGATCGGGGAGTCCCACTGCATCCGCACCAAAGGTCACTCCGGCGAACGGTCCCTCTTGCGTCTTCTAGTCGATTCTTCTCGCCCTTCGCGCACGCGCTCTGCTGCGACCGCGCCCGGACGGCCCATGAAACGCCGAGGGCCTGCACGTCGTGCTCTAGGGGGCCACATGCGAACCCTACCCCTACCCCCCCACGATTTCTGAGGGGGAG